AAATGTCACCACCAACTTGTCATTGATGTTTGTCTTTTGGCTCAAGGGATTGTTCCCTATTAAAGCAATTAAATCGCCCTGGGAGGAGCAGGGCATCTTATTTATCTCTTACATACCTTATCAGTTCAAGCCAAAATGATGCAGGTCTGGAAAGTGACATATACATAATTCTCAACCCAAATAAAGAGCTAAACGGAGGAGGCAAGCTCGAATGACCAGCAGCTGAGTTTATTTGGCACTAGCAAGGGAATTGCAAATTGGGAAATGCATGGTGTAGCAAGCTACAGGGGCTCTGTTGAGGGTGGCATGGCTGTATTTATGGGCAAGGAGTGTGAAGAGGGGGAAGTCCAGCCAGAGTCCAAGCAGTGAGTTCATTGGCTTGATGATGGAGAGGGATTCTTGGCAGATGTTCATTAGTCAGCAGGTTTTCTTGGTTTTCAATAAATCAGGCATTTAATGGAAATCAGTCTCTTGGGTTCTTAAGTTCCATTTTCTAAGGGTGCATGTGAGAGATTCTCCATTTCATATCCTCTGGTTCCATTTCAGTTTGAAATCCTTTCTCTATCTATTATCTATCTATCTATCTATCTATCTATCTATCTATCTATCTATCTATCTATCTATCATCTATCTATTTATCTAATGTTTTAAATGAAGACAATCTCTGTTGGTATCATTCTTCTGGACATGTGTTACCAGAGATGTGTTAAATTAGTTTTCTTTTAATCTTTTTGGAGCAAAATTTTAATCGTTTGTGAGTCATCTTTTAAGTATGAAAAGAGATTGCTATTTAAAGACATCCAAAAAAGAATTTTAGTATTTTAATTTTCTAGAAGATTCATCTGGTAGATATATGCTTTGGGAAATTTATGAAGGCTGCATTTGCATATTAGAGTAGCTTTTAAAAAATATTCTAAAACAATATATTAGTATCAAGTTAAAGCAATGAAATGTTCCACACTTTTATTAATAGTCCCTTTCGCTGTCTTATGGTTGCTGTTTGCATGAAGAATCTTTTTCCTCCTTTTCCTTTCAGCCTATTTGTACCTTCGAATGTAAAGCATGTCTCCTGTAGCATACACATGGATCTTATTCTTTTTATCCCATTTGATAATCTCTACTTTTGATTGGATTGTTTAATTCATTCACATTTACTGTTGTTATTGCTTTAGTTGGATTTATATCTGCTATGCATTTTTTTTTTTTTTACCATGCATCATGTCTTTCCTTCCTCTCTTCCTTCTTAACTGGTTTATTTTGAATTAAGTGAGTATTTTCTAGTGTAGCATTTTAATTCCTTTAATGATCCTTTTACTATTTAGTTTTGTTATTTTCGTATTGGTTGCTCAGGCAGATGTTATACTTTTCACTTTTGCTGCTTTAGCATGCTCAGCAGACTCAATGAAGTGTTTCCAGAAAATATAAATACCACATTGAGTCTTTCTTAGTATTGTCAAAGTTTTAGGATTATCTTTTGGATAAAACAATCAAGATAAGAGCAAGATTATATAAAATAAAGGAAAAAAAGCAAGATTATTATTAAATTTGTACTTTTGGGGAGAGAGTTATAAAGGAGTTAATGACTGGGTTTAGTGGTGTGAGGATGAGACAGAGCCTCTGATATCAGAAATAGCCTGGTGGGAGAACAATGCACATCATTAAGATGCGATTGCTACATAAATGGTCCTTTTGTTTTAGAGAGTGCAGTTTATAGTAATTGGAAAAAAAAAGCCCTTGTGCCATTTTCATTGTTTGCTCCATTTGTTTGCTTTCTATATAACTGAACTTCACACAAAGGAGAGAATGAAACTGTTTTCAGGTGCATCGAGGTATTTTCTATAGTCTTTCATTTCAGAGCTTAGTTCTTGTTAAGTATTTTCCAGGCTATGTGTATGTTTTATGAGATTCAAAGAAGAATGACATTTCTTTGGAAACCAACCTCTAATTTGATTGAATATTACATTTTTTAAAACAGAAAAAATTGGATTTCAATCACATTCTGGGTTTATTTCTAGCCATTTTCTAAAGCAAGCCTTGTTGAAATTAGGAGACATAATTCTACTTCACATTTCCAAAGGCTGTGTTTCCAAAAACACAGAAACACAGATATATAGCACTCTGCCACACAAACATTATTAAAAAAATATGAGATGCAATTCTCAACCACACTGCATTTCTCATGACTTTTTGTTGGTGTTTATACCTGGGTGAAATGAGTTTGGGGAAAAGTCAGTTTGAAGCAGCAACTCTTTTTGAAGCAGCAACTCTTTACTTTTGCTCATTTTATGAATAGTGCATGGGATTGACATGTGGGAGTAAATGGAAAACGCTGAGACTTAGAGCAACCTTCAAAGGATTTAGGGGAAAGACAATGAAAATGGTTTGTATGAAGTTCAGCTATAAACCCATGGGTACGAGGGATAGCACTGTTTGCTTCTAAGCTTAATTGGTTGTTTTAATTTTTGTAACTCGGGACCTACTTCCTAGAATCACAGCAAACAACAGAAATAGTTAAAATACGTTTTCTGAGAATAGATATCTGGATCTCATCACATTAGCTTTTAATGATCAAAAAGTGGTTCTGTGAGATTAGTGTAGTTTTATGAGTGAGGACCATATTGATGGATTAGAGGGAAAGAAAACAGTCTTTCTTGGGGGAAAATGGACTAAGCAAGGTATAAATGACAGAGAAGTGTTCGTTCATTTGTACATTAATTCATTTGTTCATCTATTCGTTTAGCAACTATACTCTGTCCACTATGTGCCAGGCACTTTGCTGGGTTGTGATAAATCTGGGAGAATATCGATGGCACTGGTATGTCTTAGTATATTACTATCTGTTTACAGATTCCATTCCATTCTATTTCATTAAAAATGGAATTTTTATATAATTGACATATAACATTTATTAATTTTATGCATACAACATAATAATTATAAGGTTATAATACAATAATAAGGTTAGTTAATATCCATCACTACTCATAATTACATTTTTTTTTCTTGTGATGAGATCTTCTAAGGTCTATTCTCTTAGCTACTTTTTTTTTTTATCCTCACCCGAGGACATTTTCCCATTTTTTTGTTCAGGTTGAGTGGGAGGGAGAGAGAGGAACAGAGAGAGAGAGAGAGAAACATCGATGTGAAAGGAACACATTGAGTGGCTGCCACCCGCACGACCGACCAGGGCCGGGGACAAACTGCAACCGAGGTACGCGCCCTTAGCGGGAACCGAACCCGGGTCTCTCAGGACCGCAGGCCGACGCTCTAACCGCTGAGCCAAACCAGCCAGGGCCTCTTAGTTACTTTCAAATATACAATACAGTATTGTTAGCTATAGTCACAATAGTGTACATTACATCCCTAGGACTTATTTATCTTATAAATGGGAGTTTGTACTTTTGACACCTGCCCACACCCACAACCACCAACCCATCATTTCATTCCAATTTTAACATGATGGTTTTATGCACAAAATTTAGTTCGATTTGAACGCAATTAAGAATCATCATTATTTTATTCAATTGCACAAATGTACAATCTCATAATTTTGGTCTATGATAAAGGAATAATATGTTTATAATGTTCTTATTTCAAAAGTACTATGTGTAATGATTTTAAAATGCAAGTCTAATTTCCCATTCAAATAAAGGATAGGCTGGGAAAATATATCTTAAAGCTCAAAATTTTGGATTCTTATGAAAAAAAAAAAAAAAAAGGTCCTAAGAAGGAAAACTCTTTTTCCTTTCAATTTCTCACTCACAAGACCTAATGAGCAAATGGGATTCAGTATCATCCAATCTAGACTTTAAGATTCACACAAAACAACAATAAAAAACAAACATATAGCTGTTTATTGAGATCATTTTGCTTTAGAATATTGTATCCACAAGACTTATTAGTGTAAATGTCTACATTGTGTGTTTAGAGCAATTTGGGATACCCTGGGTCAGTTTTCACACTGTATTTTATATGGGCTAAGCATATTAAGTTATGCCCAAAACATCAAGGACACTGTCTTGCTATTAATACCAAGGCAGGTGAGAAAAGTAAAACTTAAATGCTAAATGAAAGAAAATGTAAGTGTGTCCCCAAAGTTTTCCTACAATTGTTCCAAGTAGGTGTAGAACTAGGGCCTAGTGAGAGTTGAGGAGATGCTTGTCAGATCAGCCTCAGGGAAAATCCGGGTGCAAAGGATTTGCAAGAGAATCCCTCCAGGGTTCAAGTCAATTAAGGACCGGCTTAAAAAAATGGACTAGGAATCCAGTATACTCCCAGATTCCTTAACCTGTATTGTAGTAAGACCTCTGCAGTCAGCTGGATTGGGTTTCTGTTGTGGTTTCAGCTGTGTGACCTTGGAGGAAATGATTTAACTTCTCTAGGTCTTAGTTTCCTCACCTTTAAAACGGAAATTACAGTAATACTTCCTTATCACAAAGAATGGCTGAGCTGAAATGAGATAATGCAACGCACAGTGCAAGGCACTGAGCCAGCTCCCACCAAATGCTAGTCATGATTATCTGTTAAATATGTGCCTGACAACTGGCAAATGACTTAGAAAACTAGTCAACAAATAATGAAATTGTATTATTCCCCCCAAACACATTGTTTCGACGATGGGGACAACTGCAGATTGATCAATCCATCAATATCTCTGCCTTTAAGTGCAGCTCATGTGGTTTCCCTGAGCACTTCTGTGTCCCTTGCCAGGTCTCCTTTGGAGGCAGTTGGAGTCCTGGCTCTCCCACAAATGATTTGGCCTTTAGGTGCTCAGGAATTTTATTTCCACTTTGTGGACGAAAATGGGCATAGGTGCAAATGCCAAGGCTGGCAGTAACCTCACAGAGTGATCCTATCATAAATTCCTAACTGGGTAGGTCACGGTAGGTAGTCATACCTATAAAAGATTCCTCTTCGCCTTAGCAAGTCCTGTCTATTGCTTTTGTGCATCTGGGTTAACATGCCTTTGAAATGCCTGTTTTTATTTTTTATTTTTCCCTCAGGGGAGAGTGCAAATACAGTTTCCCACTACCACAGATTATATAGTCAAGTTTCCCACATTTGGGGAAATCAAAGGGGTCAGCACTTCCAGAGTGCAATGGATAAGCTTCGCCCTGGGGACACCACCTTCGTGACCATGGCACCTCCCCTGCCAGGGAAGTATAAAATGCCTCTTTTTTAGACCCCTCAAAGGCATAACCACCCTTAAGGGAGCACTTAATCTTGTTGACTATCCTGTACCTGGCTTTCTCCCACCTTCGTGTAACCATCCTCCCATCCCTCCTTGATTCCCAAACTCATTCTCTGCAGCATCTGAGATCTTGCTTCCTGGCAACTACCATCAATTTGACTCAAGTAAACGCTTATTTAAAAAAATTCTCTATAGATTTGGACATTTCTTACATTGATAATTTTACCAGTTTTATAGGTACTCCTCTATCAGAATAAAAGCAGGAATGTCAAGTATCCTGGCAAAAGGACAGATTTTAGCTTCACTTTTATTTTCTTCCAGAGCCATGTAAGAGAATGTTTCTCTTTCCTCTATTTGCACCTCGCAAAGACAGTAAGCTGACCTTATGATCCTAATATTTTTTATTCACATGTTCAAAAAAGCTACTACCAGCATTCTATAGTTCTTTTTTTTTTTTTAATTTCTCACCTGACGATACTTTTTTCCATTTTTATCTACAGGTAGAGTTGGGGAGAGAGAAACCATCGATTGGTTGCCTCCCTCACGACCCTGACCAGGGCCGGGGACTGAACGGCAACCGAGGTACGTGCCCTTGACCAGAATCGAACCCGTGACTCTTTGGTCTGTGGGCCGACGCTCTAACCGCTGAGCCAAACTGACCGGGCTACAGTTCTTTTTAAAGATTTTTTTAAAAAATTGAGTTTTAGAGAGGAAGGGAGAGAGAAAGCGAAACAAGGATCGGCTGCCTCCTGAATGCCCCCTACCAAGGGTCAAGCCTGCGATCCTGCACGTGCCCTCACCAGAACTTGAACTGGTGACCTTTCAGTGCATGGGACGATGCTCAACCGACAGAGCCACACTGGCAAGGGCTACAATTAATTCTTTTTTAAAAATTGAAACCCTGTAACTACTGATTAGTAAAAAAACGACAACAAACAAGCAAAAAAACAATGTAAGAGTTTTGAAAAATATAGCTGTGCAGTGGTTCTCAAACACAGAGAACAAATAACGTGTTCTTTGCTTCATGGAAAAATGGAAAAAATATAGTGGAAAAATTTATCTTAAAGCTAAAAGTAATAAAAGTCATTCTGAGACCATGTTCTCCCTAAATTTTAGTGTTATTAAAATACATATTTTTTCCTATGAAATGCTGCTTATATACTTATATATTTTAAAAATGTTCTCATTTGGAGAAAGTAAAAAAGAAAGGCAAACTCATATTGATTTCCTTAATTCTTTTTTAAAGTAAGTTTTTGGAGTCCAAATTCTAAGAACCAGGGATAATTATAATAGAGCGGACAAAAAAAGGGGTTCTGTGTAAAGTAACCTCACAGGGTGATCTGGTCATAAATTCCATGTGAGTAGTCACGTCCCGGGCCCCTAACCCTCTTAGCCCGTCCGTGGTCCCCGTGCCTCTAGGACCACACACCCACCCTGCCGGCGCGACCTCTCCAGGCCGAGTGGCACCACCCTCCTCCCCGTGACCTTGCGCACCCTGTCCATCCTGTCCACGGTCAGCGGCACCTACCCTGTGCCACACCGGACAAGTGTGCGTCTCTCCCTTTCCTGTCCTCTCCAGTCCTAGGATTTCCCCGCTCTGCCTTCTCCGCCTCCTGCTCGCCCACAGTGAGTGCTGTGTACCTTCCTCAACTTTCTCCCTCGATTCCAAACGCATGAAAGGAACCGCCAACTGCCTTTCTCCGGGGCCCTTCTCAATCCCTTGAGATCTTGCTTCAGGGCATGTCCTCAAGCATTTGGCTCAAGTAAATTCTTATATGATTCTTTTATAGTTTGGATGTTCTTTGTCAACACTAATACATAATTTTTAATTGATTTAGGTTTTAAAAGTGTGTTTTTCAAAACCCCAGGGTTCATCTGACATGCATTAGGGCTCTCCAAATTTTTTTATCTCAGTTTCACATAGAGTGATATACTGTGGTCTTCAATCACCCCTGAGGACAAAAAAGAGGTACTGTAATAAATTATAAATTTCTAACTGGGCAGGTTCATAGTGGGTAGTCATGCCCCAGTCATGTAACATTTTAGTAAAAGGTTTGTCTTTGCCTGAAGCAAGCCCTGTCCATTGCTTCTGTACAAATAGATTAACACACCTTTGAAATGCATATCTTCAGACCCCTTCTAATGAGTGAACTCCCTGTTTAGATCCCTCAAGAGAGCGCATAATCTTGACTATGCTGTAATCCAGTCCCCACTTTGCTTTCTTCTATCTTCATGTAATCTTCCTTCCACCCCCTCCTTAATTTCAAATGCATAAAAGAAATTGCAAAGTGTTATTTCCAGAGCATTTGAAATCTCGCTCCCTGGCATATGTCATCAGTTTGGCTCAAATAAACGATTAAGAAAATCCTCTGTTGGTTTGGATGCTTCTTACATCAACAACCCTGATAGAACCTTTTTGTGTTTGTAAAACATGTTCTCATAGATTTATTTTAAGATGAGTAAATGTTCTACATTTGAATAGTAGCTCATCCCTATGGGCAAACAGATGCCTTTTTATTTGTTTTTTTGACATGAGGATGCTTTGTAGACTAAGCCTATTTTCAACACCAGCTCTCTAGTTATGGTGTGGTAATGAGTGTTCCCATTTGGGTTTTCTGGCTGGCCAACTTTGCCAGCCTGTCTCCAGTTTATTTCTACTAAACACAACCAGATTTCTCCATGTTAAACTAGCCTGTAATCTGCAGACTTCCTGAGGAGACTCCTCTCCATTGTATTTTATTCTGCTTTATGTATCAACAAACCATGTAAAAAACTGCTTCCTTGAAACTACTAGTCTTCTTTAAAACGACTGGAAGAGGTAAGTGGGTTACTGACTAGTGTGGACAACACAAATAACTTTTTTGCAATGAAAAACTCTTAAAAACGTAGCCCTGGCTGGTGTGGCTGAGTTGGTTGAGCGTTTCCTGTGTACTGAAGGGTTGTTGGTTCGATTTCTAGTCAGGGCACATGCCCAGGTTGAGGGTTCTATCCACGGTCGGGCACCTAGGGGAAGCAATTGACGTGTCTCTCACATCGATGTTTCTTTCTTTCTCCCTTTCTCTATCTCTGAAGTCAATAAAAACATATTTGAAAAAATAAAATGAAAATAAAAACTCTTGAAAATGTAACTGCATCTGGCGTAAAGGGTTTTAAAGAACAGGATTTCACTGACTAAATTTGAAGACTTAATGGGCTTTATTAAGTGATTTATGAATCCGGGAGCATCTCATTTAGCAACAAGAAGGGCACTCTGATGAGCTGTGCAAAAATGAATGGATGATTTTTGGCGAGGACACCTTCCCTTAGGACCCTTAGCGGAGGCAGCGTTCTTATCAAGCAGATCACCTCACTGGTGTAAATCAGGAAATTCCAGCCAGATTGGTTTAAATTTTACCCTTGAGAGAGGCTTTAACTGCACTTAAGATAATTATTAAGTTTTGATTTGGTGACCTGGGTTTGCCAGAGGGACTCCATTTTGGCCTATTTCTTTTTTTCACGGGGATGAGGCAGTTTCTTTAACAGACAATTGTGCATTTGCTGTAGCTGTTTGCTCGCTGTGAAACACTGGCAAGTTATTTGATCTTTCTGAGCATTCCATTTCTTGTCTGTAAAATGGAAATGATCATCATTTAAGTTGTTTTGAGGATTTCGTGAGATACACCGAAGCACTCAGCAAATGTTGTCATAAGAGGAGTCTGACTAATTTAGATAGGGAATTGGGGGAAGTTCCAACAATTTAATTTTTTTTTCTCTGTATCCATCACCAAAAATAACTGGAGATAATTTCAGGTAATAAAGAGATAGAAATGTGTTAGACTCTTAACTTTAAAATGTTTCCTATTTTTCACCCTCAGAAATTCTCTTACATTTGTTTGAAATTTTACAACTTCCATTAAAGATAATATTATACTCACCCTTTGCTGTGTGAATCTTGCAAAGTTCTCTAGCCAAAAGCAAGAAATTTCATTCTGGTAAGATTAAAGACTATTCAAATAATGTGAATATAAAATATTGCACAACTTTTTCAACGTATGGCCCGTTTATACCAAGACTCCTTGCACTGTTGGCCTCTTGGCTAAGACCAAGGGTAGTACAAAGACTCATCGCCATAGGACAAGCATCTCAGTTGTTTCCTGGTGGTGATAGTTTTATGAAATTCTGTTTCCGTTCTCTCTCCCCTTTCCTCCTCCCCACTGATCCCCTCCCTCTTCCCATCTCCCTTTCTTTCCCCCAAGTTTTCCTTGGCCCTCTCTGTCTGAGTTAGGCACCCCTTCAAAAGGCTGTCATAGTCTTTGAATTCCAAAGGTAATCCGAAGTGCATTGTTCTGTCATTATATCTGAGTCTCCCCCAACAGATTATGAATTTGCAGTGGACAAGAACTCTGAGGGTACCTGGCAAACACTCACCCCCGGCTCCCAATACCCACAGCTGTGCTATTGGCCCTGGGTTCCCGCACTAACCCTATCACGTCTTTGTCCCCATTTAAGTCAACCCTGGTCTCCCAGGTCAAGTCTCATCTTCTAGACTCTGATCTCCATGTGGCCTTGTATATCCTTCTCCTGACCCCATGTCTCACCCCGCCCCAGCTTCGGAAACCCTTCCACGGTGACCTCACAGCATTCCCTCTTTACCTTATTTTCCCGAATATTCTCTTCACCTTCTTGCAACAGTACAGACCTGGTTGTCCCAAGGACACCGGTTCCTTTGCAGGCAGTGACCATTTTCTCTCCCTCATTGCACACACCATGGGCCTACAAGAAGAGTGGGTACTGTCGTTTACATGTTTGTGCACCTCAAATTCATGTGTTGAAACCTAAGCCCAGTGAGATGGTATCAGAGGGTGGATGAAATTAGTGCCCTTGTACAAGAGACCGCAGAGAGCTCTCTTACCCTTCTGCCTGGGGGGACGGGAGGAGGCGGCCCTCTATGAGCCAGGAAACTAGTTCTCATCGGACACGGCATCTGCCGGTGC